AGACGGCGTGAGTGTTCCAGCTCATTATGCTCGGGTACAGCCTTCTAGTGATACATGAAGTTACTTTCATTAAGGAATGTTGGTTTTTCTTCCTGTTCGTTATCATGCCCCTAGCCTTGCTCCAAGGCTGTACTGAATGCTAAGCCCACGGACAGATAGCAATTCTATCCGCTAAAGAGGCCAGTCTATATAAGCGGATATAGTCTGGCATACAGACCCTGAAGCAAATATATCCAAGAGAGACCAAGTCTAGAACATGTGGCCAGTCTAGATTTCCACAGCTGAAAATGAAGAAAGTCCTAGGCTCCTTTTCATTATATATATATATATATTGCTATGGACTTATTTTCTGTAAAATATGTTCATTTGAGAGACTAGTTGTTAGTTTAAAGCGGACAGTACTGTGTTGGAGAGACAAAGCGTTGTGTTCTTTTTATTTATATTTTCAAGAAATTATCATTTAAACAATTAAATATTACCTTAGAGACTTATGCAAGTCTACCATGTCCCATAAAAACATCGGTGGTTGACCAAGTTCAAATATGGAAATCAACAGGAACACTACTGTAGCAAGCGTATTTATAATGATAAAGGAAGTATACTGATAAGAGAAAACTATTTCCCGGAGAAAACACAAACTGTAAATCTAAGGATGTATGTTAGATAAACGTGTTTCGCAATAATGCACCACGCAGTCACCCTCCCTAAGTGGGTCAACGACCATGACAGGTGCTGAGGCTGCAGTTGAAGGAATAACCGAATAACCTCGACCCACTTTCTCCCATAAATTCCACTGAAGCTCCCCTCTCCAGATACACCCAACAGCCCCACTTTTTGCAGATGTACTCACTCGTGTTCACGACCGCTTTCCCACGTAAACCCATGAATGGACTGGGGGTGGAAGAAAGAGAGAAAGGAGGGAGGGAGGGGGAGAGAAGTTAAAATAAGAGACTGGGTGAATAGAGGTGGATAGGGATTAAAGTTGACATTCGTGGCACTGTGTTGCATCAGGAGCGAGAGAGAGAGAGAGAGAGAGAGAGAGAGAGAGAGAGAGAGAGAGAGAGAGAGAGAGAGAGAGAGAGAGAGAGAGAGAGAGAGAGAGAGAGAGAGAGAGAAGGGGGATTAGACAGAGAGAGATGGGGTAGACATTGTGAGACAGATGGGGGAATATACATAGAGAGAGGGGCGAAAGAGGGTATAGACAGAGAGAGAGAGAGAGAGAGAGAGAGAGAGAGAGAGAGAGAGAGAGAGAGAGAGAGAGAGAGAGAGAGAGAGAGAGAGAGAGAGAGAGAGAGAGAGCTATAATACTACGAGTAGGGGAAAATATAGCCTTGCTCAAAGGCTGTACTTAAAGCAAAAACCCATGGATGTATAGTACTTCTATCCTTCGAGGAGGCAAGTCTAGAATAGGTTCACAGTCTGATATTTATGATTTTTTAGAAGTTATCATTTAAACTATTAATTTTTACCTTAGAGACTTGTGCAAGTCTAAAGTAAATAGAACTTGTACCTTGCCCCATTGCCATCATGTGTCACAATATATACAATGTCATACATGTAGCTACAGATGGGCATACACGAGAGTAATCATTTACTGAGCCCTAGTTACTTTCTGAATATAGATTAGTTCAATGGTGCCATTAATACACTAGAATGTCGGTCACTTGGCTAGTCACTTAACAGCACTTACTATGTCCTATGCTGATTGCAGATAACAGCATAAACGGTACATAGGGCTGAGAGATCATCACGCCATTCACCAACTGAACAGCTTGGATTACAAATACAGCCTGAAATAACGCATATCTAAGACAGTGCTATAGTATACTACGTCTTGAATACTGAGTGCTGTCTATAGAGACACGACAGTCTGTCTCACTGGTGAATCTGGGGACGTGTACCGTAATGCGTGAGTTTGGTTTAACGCCGCTTTTAGCAATATCCCATCAATATCATGTCGAGGGACACCAGAAATGGGCTTCACACATTGCACCCATGTCGGGAATCGAACCCGGGTCTTCGGCGAGACGAGCGAACGCTTTAACCACAAGGCTACCCCACCGCCCGTATACCGTAATGATTATTGAAGAGTTGAGTAGATGCTCAGTACCGACACTCTGTTAAATACAATAAGTGAGTGAGTTTAGTTTGAAGCCGCTTTCAGCAATATTCCAGCAATATCACGGCGGGGAACACACGCATGGGCTTCACACATTGTACCCATTTGGCTAATGGAACCCGGGCTGAACCACTAAGCTATCCCACCGGTTAATGGACAAGAAGTCGACCTTTTGAAATTTCGCTATGGACACGAAGTCGTCCCGCGGTAAACTTTGATGTTGAAGGTGTTGCTAGAGTCACTCTAATCCGCTAGTAGGTGTTGTTTTGAGATTTTCCATAACCGAAGCATCGCGTAAGGCGTGAACATAGTTCACTCAAAATGTCATCAATGTTATCATACATGAGAGAGTGAATTTCACAATGATGAACATATTTAGGAAAGGAACTCGCGGTAGATTGCATTCAGTTTCGAAATGGCAAATGCACAGTTACATCTCGTGGTGGAAGATACCTGTGTGTTGGTGGATTTATGAGTGAAGCGAAATTGGATATCCTGGAAGTGCACAGAAAAGAAGTGTAATTTCACTGCGTCAACTGTCAATGACATTGTGACGATGGGGAAAGGTGACCACGCTCATCCTCATGTTCATGTTGACACATGAGGTAAGCATCTTGTCAATGCCTAATATCAATATGTTACTAAGGAAAATATGAAAGTAAAATAGATATATCAGATCTGAATACTGTACGTGACCATGTTTTGCATATCATTTAATAGATGTTGTTAACAAACACTTTATATATAGCAGTAGAGTGGTGTAACGTGGTCTGTGTAAAAGAATGTGTAAAAAGAAATAATACATCTACTTTTATTATCTTTCAGATGAACCAGACAGTTTGCAAATGGTGCATCTCTCCTACTTCATGTTGGATGATTTTGTATACGAAATAAAATACACGAAATATAGTACTTTTCTCCTGTTGTCTGTGCTCTCAACCGCATAATCCGGATTATCGCCTTGTGAAAACACTGGATTATTTCTTTGTCTTTTCTAATCTCCTGTTAATTGGTATAAGGTCAAATGGACAAGACGTCGACCATTTCACTCAAGGGTCGACGTCCTGTGCAGACACCATCCCACCGCCCCGTTTAATACAGTGGGGGATCCAGGTGGTGAGTGCAAATGCTGAGGTTACAGAGACAAGAGTTCTAAGGTTGGTCGTCACTAACCGCGGGTACCTTGCAACCAGCGCTGTCCCGTTAAATAACCCAACTGCACAACGTTACCAGCCGAGATGCCGCCCCTGTCGCCTGACCCAAGTATCAGAGACAACAGAGTAGGCATTAGACTTGCACAAGTCTCCAGGTAATAATTAATAGTTTAAATGATAATTTCTAGAACATTATAAATAACAGACTGGCGTCCTTGTGCTGTGAACTTATCAAGACTTGCCTCTTTAAAGGATAGATTTACTATTCGCCCATGACCTTAGCATTCAGTACAGTCTTGAGCAAGGCTAAGTAGGCATCTGAGACGAAAACGGTTCACTGACCGCTAGCGACGTGTGTAGCAACCCTCCCCTCTCCCGGGTCCGAAACAACTACTCTCTTCAGCCGTAGACAGGTGTAGTTTCTTAACAGAAGGATAGGTCCACCTCCCAACCAGTTTCAGCTGCTCTCCCCTACCCTGGGAAATTGTCACTCAACAAGTAGATCCCCTACCCCCGATAGCTACGCTCACGGTAAACCTCTATACCCCTGGGTAGACAGGTAGAATCCAGTCCTACACAGCCCCACCCGGGACAACCACCCTTTCCGACGTTGTACAGGTACACCCACGCTGGACAGCTACCCTCCCTACCATAAATATCTCCTTTTCTCCACATAAGACCGCCACAAAAATTGGACAGGTAAACAACCACCCCTCATCAAAGCCAGCTAGGGTCCCACATCATCCACAGCTATTCTCCCATACCCCACAGAGCTACTTCTCCCTACATCAGTTAGCTACACCCCCACACAACATTTAGACAGGTACATCGCTCCCCCGCACACTCACTGTTCCCCACGTTGACCGACTACACACATCTACTCTCGCCCACGTCAGACAGTGAACGACGAAACGTATTATGTACACAGCAAGTCTCCTTTGCTAAGATTTTGGATCAAGGCTGACTATATGAGAGACACTGCGCTTTTTCAAGTAGCATGGAACTGCTATTTATATCAATGTGGCGAGCACAGTCGCTGGGTTTTCTTGCCCTCGTTCATAGACCGGATTCAGATTACTGCCTTGTGTGTTACGTCGGTCAAACAGGCGGACGTATATTACGCGACATGTTCGATTACACACACTAGAAATAGAATACGGCCGTGCATATATCTGAATACACACACTCGCTTTTTTCAGCATCGTAAGGATGATAATGTAACTGATACAGGCGCCTCCATCCCTGCCTGCCTGCCTGGAGTACCCCTTCGAGATAACGCGTGGTGTAAATAAAGAAAAAGTATGCCTTAAGCACAGATAAAGTAGCACATATGCTGTGAGATAAAGCCAGGGGTAATTGCTGTGGGTGTTATCGACAGAGAGTTCAGCAAGTAGCCATGTGCGCTCGGACCAAGGCAATCAGAAACATGGCCTGGCAACATAAACAAGATATTAACAAGGTTTCTCAGATCTCCGAACAGCATCAAAGACCCCATGGTATGATCTGCTAGTCACAATGGGCCCTCTACTAGCCGCACATCACCTTAATCCAGCCACTGCCTTGCATCCCAAACAACAAGCACGTTGACAGTGGAATGTTGTGGCCGCCATGTTTGTTGTTATGCACGGATTTCGTGGGTTATTCCATTTCCGCGTTAGAACGCGCAGATAGTTCTACTTCTTCTGTGAACATGAAAAAAGACGTTCACACACGGTACAAGCCCTTACCTTAATCTGTTGTCAACTGTTTCTCCTTCCAACACACTTGAAAGTAATCCCATCCGACACTAGCAGCACGATGACACAGCACGGAGTAAACGCTCTCGCTTCAAAAGCTGAGCATGCTACGTATAGGCAGCCCCTCAGCCACTGTTACGGCGGGCGTGAGAACTCGACTAAAATCAATTGAAGGTCCCCGCGGACTGTGCTATCGACTACAGCGCTTCCACTGCCTTGGTAATCCGCAGTAGCCTCAATAGAAAGATCCCTCTCATAAACTTATTCCATCCCATTCCATTCGCACGTCGGGACCTATAGTGACCGGAAGTATTTCAAACATATATATTCCGGGTCGAGGGGTTACATTGGAGGTCATGTATGTACAATCCGTACTTTACCGTCCTCGAATGTGCGTCGGTGTTAGAAATCCGTTTCCATGGTTTCAAGGAATCGTGGGAGACCCGCGAACTTCAGACTGGCTTCTCGCTTGCTTCTGGGATAGGTTGATTTGAAACGGTCGGAACGGCTGCTGATGTGCAGACCGATGGCTGTTCGGTGAAGTTGGAGTCGGGGTTGTTGCGTCAGGTGACCTCTTGTCAGTGTTACGAGCGGGGTCAGGAGAAGAAGCGTTTGCTTTCCCGCCAGAAGAAATACAGCGACGCTTCTCCGACAAGGAACGCTTTTGTAAATAACTACTCGTGATGGTGCATGCGGGTTGGTGCATCTTACAATATACCGGCTCCATGGGTCTTCACTGGTTGCAGTGCGTGATCAATTTCAATGAACAGTATAATATCTTTATAGCGAATTGCAATAATTTATTCTTTTACAAATCTTTTTGAACCGTGTTTGTCACTGGCTGCAGCCTGACACTGTTTACTGTTAACAACCAGTATCACTAGTTTAGCATTTGTTATTTGAGACTATTGGTAGATAACTGCCCTCACCATTTGTCGCATGTCTTCTTTTACACGGTCAACATACATTTGCCTTTATCACCAGTTGCTTCGTATTTTCCTGACAGCTTTTATCACTAGCTGATTGGATCTTTTTCACTGCTAACAACACATTATATTTAGCATGAGTTGCTGCAGATGAACATTTACACTGCTAACAACACATTATATTTAGCATGAGTTGCTGCAGATGAACATTTACACTGCTAACAACACATTATATTTAGCATGAGTTGCTGCAGATGAACATTTACACTACTAACAACACATTATATTTAGCATGAGTTGCTGCAGATGAACATTTACACTACTAACAACACATTATATTTAGCATGAGTTGCTGCAGATGAACATTTACACTGCTAACAACACATTATATTTAGCATGAGTTGCTGCAGATGAACATTTACACGGCTAACAACACATTATATTTAGCATGAGTTGCTGCAGATGAACATTTACACGGCTAACAACACATTATATTTAGCATGAGTTGCTGCAGATGAACATTTACACTGCTAACAACACATTATATTTAGCATGAGTTGCTGCAGATGAACATTTACACTGCTAACAACACATTATATTTAGCATGAGTTGCTGCAGATGAACATTTACACTGCTAACAACACATTATATTTAGCATGAGTTGCTGCAGATGAACATTTACACTGCTAACAACACATTATATTTAGCATGAGTTGCTGCAGATGAACATTTACACGGCTAACAACACATTATATTTAGCATGAGTTGCTGCAGATGAACATTTACACTGCTAACAACACATTATATTTAGCATGAGTTGCTGCAGATGAACATTTACACTGCTAACAACACATTATATTTAGCATGAGTTGCTGCAGATGAACATTTACACGGCTAACAACACATTATATTTAGCATGAGTTGCTGCAGATGAACATTTACACGGCTAACAACACATTATATTTAGCATGAGTTGCTGCAGATGAACATTTACACGGCTAACAACACATTATATTTAGCATGAGTTGCTGCAGATGAACATTTACACGGCTAACAACACATTATATTTAGCATGAGTTGCTGCAGATGAACATTTACACGGCTAACAACACATTATATTTAGCATGAGTTGCTGCAGATGAACATTTACACGGCTAACAACACATTATATTTAGCATGAGTTGCTGCAGATGAACATTTACACGGCTAACAACACATTATATTTAGCATGAGTTGCTGCAGATGAACATTTACACGGCTAACAACACATTATATTTAGCATGAGTTGCTGCAGATGAACATTTACACTGCTAACAACACATTATATTTAGCATGAGTTGCTGCAGATGAACATTTACACTGCTAACAACACATTATATTTAGCATGAGTTGCTGCAGATGAACATTTACACTGCTAACAACACATTATATTTAGCATGAGTTGCTGCAGATGAACATTTACACTGCTAACAACACATTATATTTAGCATGAGTTGCTGCAGATGAACATTTACACTGCTAACAACACATTATATTTAGCATGAGTTGCTGCAGATGAACATTTACACGGCTAACAACACATTATATTTAGCATGAGTTGCTGCAGATGAACATTTACACTGCTAACAACACATTATATTTAGCATGAGTTGCTGCAGATGAACATTTACACTGCTAACAACACATTATATTTAGCATGAGTTGCTGCAGATGAACATTTACACTGCTAACAACACATTATATTTAGCATGAGTTGCTGCAGATGAACATTTACACGGCTAACAACACATTATATTTAGCATGAGTTGCTGCAGATGAACATTTACACTGCTAACAACACATTATATTTAGCATGAGTTGCTGCAGATGAACATTTACACTGCTAACAACACATTATATTTAGCATGAGTTGCTGCAGATGAACATTTACACTGCTAACAACACATTATATTTAGCATGAGTTGCTGCAGATGAACATTTACACTGCTAACAACACATTATATTTAGCATGAGTTGCTGCAGATGAACATTTACACGGCTAACAACACATTATATTTAGCATGAGTTGCTGCAGATGAACATTTACACTGCTAACAACACATTATATTTAGCATGAGTTGCTGCAGATGAACATTTACACTGCTAACAACACATTATATTTAGCATGAGTTGCTGCAGATGAACATTTACACTGCTAACAACACATTATATTTAGCATGAGTTGCTGCAGATGAACATTTACACTGCTAACAACACATTATATTTAGCATGAGTTGCTGCAGATGAACATTTACACTGCTAACAACACATTATATTTAGCATGAGTTGCTGCAGATGAACATTTACACGGCTAACAACACATTATATTTAGCATGAGTTGCTGCAGATGAACATTTACACTGCTAACAACACATTATATTTAGCATGAGTTGCTGCAGATGAACATTTACACGGCTAACAACACATTATATTTAGCATGAGTTGCTGCAGATGAACATTTACACTGCTAACAACACATTATATTTAGCATGAGTTGCTGCAGATGAACATTTACACTGCTAACAACACATTATATTTAGCATGAGTTGCTGCAGATGAACATTTACACTGCTAACAACACATTATATTTAGCATGAGTTGCTGCAGATGAACATTTACACGGCTAACAACACATTATATTTAGCATGAGTTGCTGCAGATGAACATTTACACTGCTAACAACACATTATATTTAGCATGAGTTGCTGCAGATGAACATTTTTACACTGCTAACAACACATTATATTTAGCATGAGTTGCTGCAGATGAACATTTACACGGCTAACTAACAACACATTATATTTAGCATGAGTTGCTGCAGATGAACATTTACACTGCTAACAACACATTATATTTAGCATGAGTTGCTGCAGATGAACATTTACACTGCTAACAACACATTATATTTAGCATGAGTTGCTGCAGATGAACATTTACACTGCTAACAACACATTATATTTAGCATGAGTTGCTGCAGATGAACATTTACACTGCTAACAACACATTATATTTAGCATGAGTTGCTGCAGATGAACATTTACACTGCTAACAACACATTATATTTAGCATGAGTTGCTGCAGATGAACATTTACACGGCTAACAACACATTATATTTAGCATGAGTTGCTGCAGATGAACATTTACACGGCTAACAACACATTATATTTAGCATGAGTTGCTGCAGATGAACATTTACACTGCTAACAACACATTATATTTAGCATGAGTTGCTGCAGATGAACATTTACACGGCTAACAACATTATATTTAGCATGAGTTGCTGCAGATGAACATTTACACTGCTAACAACACATTATATTTAGCATGAGTTGCTGCAGATGAACATTTACACTGCTAACAACACATTATATTTAGCATGAGTTGCTGCAGATGAACATTTACACTGCTAACAACACATTATATTTAGCATGAGTTGCTGCAGATGAACATTTACACTGCTAACAACACATTATATTTAGCATGAGTTGCTGCAGATGAACATTTACAGATGGCTAACAACACATTATATTTAGCATGAGTTGCTGCAGATGAACATTTACACTGCTAACAACACATTATATTTAGCATGAGTTGCTGCAGATGAACATTTACACGGCTAACAACACATTATATTTAGCATGAGTTGCTGCAGATGAACATTTACACTGCTAACAACACATTATATTTAGCATGAGTTGCTGCAGATGAACATTTACACTGCTAACAACACATTATATTTAGCATGAGTTGCTGCAGATGAACATTTACACTGCTAACAACACATTATATTTAGCATGAGTTGCTGCAGATGAACATTTACACTGCTAACAACACATTATATTTAGCATGAGTTGCTGCAGATGAACATTTACACGGCTAACAACACATTATATTTAGCATGAGTTGCTGCAGATGAACATTTACACGGCTAACAACACATTATATTTAGCATGAGTTGCTGCAGATGAACATTTACACGGCTAACAACACATTATATTTAGCATGAGTTGCTGCAGATGAACATTTACAGTTGCTAACAACACATTATATTTAGCATGAGTTGCTGCAGATGAACATTTACACTGCTAACAACACATTATATTTAGCATGAGTTGCTGCAGATGAACATTTACACGGCTAACAACACATTATATTTAGCATGAGTTGCTGCAGATGAACATTTACACTGCTAACAACACATTATATTTAGCATGAGTTGCTGCAGATGAACATTTACACGGCTAACAACACATTATATTTAGCATGAGTTGCTGCAGATGAACATTTACACTGCTAACAACACATTATATTTAGCATGAGTTGCTGCAGATGAACATTTACACTGCTAACAACACATTATATTTAGCATGAGTTGCTGCAGATGAACATTTACACGGCTAACAACACATTATATTTAGCATGAGTTGCTGCAGATGAACATTTACACTGCTAACAACACATTATATTTAGCATGAGTTGCTGCAGATGAACATTTACACGGCTAACAACACATTATATTTAGCATGAGTTGCTGCAGATGAACATTTACACTGCTAACAACACATTATATTTATATGAGTTGCTGCAGATGAACATTTAGTTGC